ATATTGTACATATATAATTATAAGACTAAACTGTAAAAATACAAAACGAAGTTAATTAAATGAAATGATTTAATAAACCTTTTTTTAAATTGTGGCCCTGCCTTCCCTGACTGCAGGTCACTGGGCATTTCCCAGTTACAGTGTACAGGTGTGCAGTGTTTCTCTGAAAGGCCTCCTGATGGGAAATAAGAGATACTTAAATTAGCAAAGTCACATCGCGGATTGCAGCACAATAGTTCAGTTTGTTGGTCGTCCAGACAGCAACATTTCAATAACTATTGGAAATGTTGAACCACCACTTGAGTTCTCCAGAGGATGAACCCTTTTGGTGGTAGACTTTGACTGCTGGTGTGGTTGTTGTAAGGAGACGCCGGATTCGGAGGGATCCATTCGCAGGTTTTTATTAGAGCATCAGACAGGCAGAGTCAATGACAGCAGACAGGGCAACGTAGAGCAGACAGGATCGTAGTCAGCGGGCAGGCAGGGGTCGGGGCAGGCAGAGAGCAATCAGCAGTACGGTCCGGGGTCACTAAACAGGGATCAAGACTAGGAGAAAACGCTCAGAAATGACAGCCGGGGCAGAATCAAGACTTCGCAGTGAGTGTGTGGGTGTCAGTGGCTTTTGTGTGTGTGTCAATGAGGTGCAGGTGTGTGTGTCATCAGTGGTGTTGTGGAATCAGTCCCAGGTGTGAAGCATGATGGGAGATGGAGTTCGAAACCAGTTAGTACTCGGGAGAGGGGTCCCTCCGATGGCGAGAGGGAGGCGGTGCGGGAGCGTCCTTCGTAACAGTTGTGAAATAAGGGTTTTTGTACGACATAAACAGTACAGATAAAGGAAGTACAATAAATAAGTAAGTGGTGTATGAAATAATTATCAGATAAAACCATAAACTCAACAGGAAGAACATGTAGACAAAAACACAAGTGGTGCGATGTCATTATAGCCGAGTCAGCTGTGCACTGAAGATGTATTTAAAGTAAACGTACTAGAAATGCAACCGCATGCAACTGAACCTGCTTAATCCTGATCTGTTTGTTTCCCTCGGTAAACTCCTTCGGCCTGAGGTGTGATACAAACGTGAGTCATGAAAGCGCCTTAACGAACCCGAGCCGCTCGGTGTGAAAGTGTCTAAATCCAGGGCGTAGCCGCCCCCCAACCCAGATACAAAAAACTCCAAACACAGATGTCTTCTTGAAAAAAATCTCACTTTTAAACCAATTTGCAACGTATTTTTCAACGTCGGCCATAGACGTCTTTTCACCCAAAAAGGTGCTGGCCGGGCTTCGACCTGGTGGACCTCAACCTGTGCAACGCACTGGAACCCCGCTCAGACATCGAGATCAGCTCCTCCACTTGGCCAAAGAGACCCCTTATGTCTCTGCAGCTTCCTGGTGGTGCTGACTGGACACTGTGATCGGAGCGGAATCAGAATCCTATGACTCAAAGGCATCGACTGAGCTTCTACAAATCTGGTTGGTTGAACCAAATCCGTGCAGTCTAACAACTTCCCCGAACGCCCTTCAATGTCATTGCCAACGCTGGTTAACAACATGCCAAGAGAAAGACGACGGTCCCGCTTCCCTCAACCTGCACTACACCTGCACTGGATTCCCAAATGCATTTGATTAACAAAATAACCTAATGAGAAGCACATGAAATGCATTTGTTTATTCTGAAATTAATGTTTAATATGTAGGTAATATAATGTAAAATAATGTAATAATTCATTAATTATATAATGCATAAACTTGGGCATCCCAATTTATAGCCCCCTTTTACGACCTGCAAGTATAAGATTTATTCTGAAAGTGCGATGTGAACGATAACACTCATGGGTAACAGCGTCTTAACGTCCCTTAGAACTCAAATGAACAGCTCAGCGTCTCACCTGAACCCAAAGGGTTTTCCTGACACGAACCACGTGTAGTTGACTGCTGACATTGGTTGAGATTAAAGGGAACAGAGACCACCTATTTACTATTCACTTATCACCAGTTAGTATCACTTTGGAGCTTTGAGCCGCTGGTCCGCTGGTACTGGGCTAAACTAGCACGGTGCCGTCACGTCAGCTCCAACAAGGCAGCTGCTGCTAACGAAGTAAAAGTGAAATGCTCCACATTAGAGGATTGATACCCGACGGGTCTCAGGCAGATATTCACAAACACGTAAAATGTGTAATTAGCATGAACAGTTGAGCCATTGACTCCATCGGGCTCGGACAGAATAATTTGGCGGATCCATAAGGTACGAAAACCACCAACAGCTTTCATTGTAGGGGCATCTTAGGTTAGCAGGTTCGCACCGTGTGGCCAGTTGGCCTGCGACTTGTGCTAAGTGTTAAATATTTAACTGCAAAGTAATAAAGCGTGTTTGATACCTGTTTTTGCATTGAGTCATACTGGGATGTTTACTGAAACTGATTGACTGGCTCTGCCCAAAGAAATCCACCATCCGCCAAGCCGCAATCCTACGACCTTGGTCTAAATACAGCTTACGGAGTCTTCATATTCGCCCGGCTCCGAGGGGGAGGACACGTTTGAGTCCGCTCTGCACAGACGATGGGCGACGTCACGCGTGTTTTACCGCCTCGGCCTCCGAGTCAAAAGTCCACTGAGCGCATTGTTTGCACCCGGTTCTGCGCCCAAAGGAGCACTGAGCTGTGTAACCACAGGATGCCAAATTGGGGGATTTTGCATTCCTTACATCCAAGTTGTTTGAGTCAGCATGTTTAACTAGTCTGTAACTGGAAAGGAATGTTAATTACTTTTGAATCATTATTATTGTTAAAGACGATGCTTTATGAATAATGTGGGATTCATATTGTTTACTTCATTTGCTGTTTGGAGCTTTTGGTGAAATGCATTTGGATGATACAGCTAGAAATGTACATGCCAATAAGTAGTAATGAATAATTACTTTAGAGAGTCTGTACTTGTACATTGTTGTCTAATTGTTAATGTTATTTTGAACAAAAAATGACACACATTCGATGGTCTTGGAGGCAGAATTATGTTGAACTAGCGACTCTCAACTAATTTAACGGCTTGAAGTGCCAACAATCTCCCCACATTCAGCAGGACGTTTTTCACACCACGGCCTTTTGGGGACACAGTGGTGGTCCTCTGCAGGCTGTGTGCCGCCGGGTGACGCCCAGGTGGAAGTAGCCTAGCTGCTAGCTTAGCATAGCGGCGCTTTAAGTGGTCCGTGTGCCACTCATTGGCCTTTTGTCTGGCGCGTGATGGAATTCTTCTCCGCTGTACGTCGCGCCTCCGTTTGTATTACTTCCAATGCAAAAATCTCTCTCCATCTTGAGCTTTTGCTTTCTTTGATCTAACTGACTGCCGCTAGCGGGCGTTTCCTTAAGAATACATTTTATACATAGTTCATATTTGTGCGTTTGTGTTTTTGGAATCATGGAATACACTCTGTAATATTTGTAAATCACCTGCTCATCTCCGCGTGTCTCAGGGGCGCTCGGTCCCAAAGAGGCGGGTCTAAGAATCAGTGCAGCCAATCACTGGTAAGGTGAATGAGTGACATGTCATTTACTGAAGTTTGGCCCTGCGCGCATTCGCTCCTCCGGTCTGACTGAATTTACGCATAAACTTCATTTGGATGAATCCCGCCCCGCCAGAGGGCGGATTTATTTATTTTTCTCGTTCTGTGAAGCAACGATTCAACAAAACAACTGAAATCCGGGTTTCCCCAAACGAACATCTTCACATATATACCGCAAGCAATGGATCGGCTCTGTCATACGGCTCAAGATGTCACGCCTCGTGGGTCTGCAGATGGTAAATGTGCCCGTGAGCCGGCGGGAGCGCGCTTTACAGTCACGCCGAGCTGAGAACCTTCACGCGTGTTTTATCTTCTCTCCACAGATCCCGCTGCTGCTCTTCAACGGCTTCGTGCCGGCTTCTTCCTCCGCTGCCGCCGCCACGAGGTCCCCCGGGTGCATCAGCCTGGAGCGGCTGAACCGCACCGTGGACCGGTTCCAGAGGACGCACGGCAGCCCGACGATGACGCGTAACCGGCAGGACGCGCGGCAGGACGCGCGGCAGACGTGCGCGCAGGCGGCCGCGGGAATGAGCGGAGAGCTGAGAGACCGCTCCCTCGCCCCGTGGCGGTACAGGTGAGCACCCGAGAGCACCCGACAGCACCCGACACCACCCGACAGCACCCGACACCACCCGACAGCACCCGACACCACCTACGGGCCCAAACGCGCTCACCGTTACCAGCCGAGCGGTTTTTAACTCAATGCGATTAACGTGAATGCAGCAGGCCTCATATTTCAATCTACCCCCGTTTTATGAATTTAAGTCAACAGCACTGTTACAAGAACATGTACTCCAGTGGGAAATGAAAGTAAAAAAAGTATTTTTCGGTTTCAAGTAAAAGTTTTCTGTTCAAATTTGTATTGGAGTAACAGTAGAAATACGCAGTGCAGGTCCTCTTATCTGTTATTTTGGTAAAAGTGGCATCACACTAAAGTAAAAGTACTGAAATATCATATATTTGTTGTTTTTGAAATAAACTAAAAGTAGAACCAGTAAGAATAAATATTATATATGATTGGTTCATAATTACGGATACAAGGTGAACGGGGACCTGCGCCCCGTAAACACACTTCGTGAAGTCAAACCATGTAGAATAAACGTGTTATGATTGCATTTTAAACGAGAAATGAATGTTAACTTGTAAGAATAGAATACTAACCCGACCCCCTCAAAAGACCCAACATGGCGGAGAGACGTTCACTCAAGAATCCGACATGTTGCGTCATGTTGTTCACTCAGTAAAGCAGTTAGCAAGACTAAGACACGTTTTTATTTACTCGCCTCTTTTGGACCTTTCACTTTTCAATGTGTTGTCTGATATTTTGTGCTTTGTCCCATATCGGTTATTGTTGACAAATATATTTGTGTGTGTTGTACTTTTTAATGCTGTCATATACGGTAGTCCAGTGCTCTTGCGCAGATACTGTGGTTTATACGGTAGTTGATGTGACGCCTGTAAAGGGAGACACATGGTGATCCATTAAATCAACTAAGAAGCCTCTAATGCATTTATTTACAAATGCCATTAAATTCATCTCATAGCACTTGGTTGTTTTGTAGCTGTATGCATTTACTTAACTTGCACTACAATGATGGTAATAATATAATGAATATGCTTCAAGTGAACATGAGGGTGTGTTTGTGAGTGTAGTATAGAGAACTAGTTCTGACAAATTTGAGGTTCTGTTTTAGAATAAAGGGTTGTAAATTAAAGCTTTTTAATGCCGTTTAAAAAAAAAATCTGATTCATCGATTAATCGAAGAAATAATCGACCGATTAATCGATTATCAAAATAATCGTTAGTTGCAGCCCTAATATAATTGTAAACCTTGATTTGGTTGAATTGGAGAAAGAAAACATTCATTCTCTCACCATCTCAGTCAGACACGTGCAGATGATTGACCCTTGTCTAAGCCCCGCCCCCCCAGCTATCAGAACTACTGTACTTCCTACAAACACGACGCACACAGAAGGAGATAGAAGCTTCAGAACATGAGTGAACCACCACGTGACCCGGCTGCCCCACGTCGAAGTGTCCCTGAGCACGACACCTAACCGCTAATTGCTCCCCGGGCGAAATGCATAAAAGCCATGGATTAAAAATGTAATGTAAGTTGCTCTGGAGAGAAGCGTCAGCTAAATGACCTGTAATGTAATGAGACCGAAGACAATGAATTAAGGAACCACAACGGATTGATACGCGGGATTCGTTATCTACAGCTTCTAGAAAACACAGCTGACAAGACTTGAAACATCACATAAGATGCCTCAAAGTAATCACGCAACGCAGCCAGGAACCGTGAATAAAGTCTTTAAAAAAGAGCGATAGACACATTTTAAAGTGCGTTTCCAGCTGACTCCCGTCTCCCGTCAGCATCAACACAGAGGACGACCGGATTCCTCACAAGATCGCCGTCGCCGAGTGCCTCTGCGACGGCTGCATCATCAACCAGCGGGAGGACATGCGCTACAACTCTGTGCCCGTGTTCGCCCCGCTGATGGTCATGAGGAAGACGCCGTGCCCGCGGGACCACGCCAGGTTCATGGTCAGCAGGGATTGGATCAAGGTCCCCGTGGGCTGCACCTGCGCCGCGCCCAAGTACGCCAAGAGATCGACGTAGCTGAAGACGCCAGGCGGAAGAAGGCGCTGTGTAGTTTCTATGTGATGAAGGTGGGATTAGTTATTTATTTATTACAGTTCTATGTTTGTTTGTTTCTTAGGATCTAAAGTACATGTACTCAGTAAAACACTGCTTTAATAAGTGTACAACTCACTCTCACAACAAACGCCAAATGCTGCCGCTTGGTCGGTGGCACCAACCGTCTTTTTGTACTCATTTGCATCCAAATAACATTTTAGGTAAAATAATATGTCACGCAGAAGATTTCAGCAATACTGAGAGTCACATAAACACGTGACTAATACATTTGGTGTTTGACTATTCATCCTTTTGTCTTTTATTTGTAGATAACTGTATTTTTTAATTTTGGAAACACTGTCCTTTTTGCTAAGCTAGTTAGCGTTAGCAAACGGTAGTTTGCTAGTTGGTAGTCAGCAGCCAATTGGTGCGAGGAAGCTTCGTGTGCTCACGAAACCCCCTACTGGCCACGCGTGTCATCACAGTGACTTTGTGTGTCTGTTATGGCCGTGGGGACTGACTATGAGTTACAGAAATGTATAACCAAATCATTTCTGTACATAAATGATCACATGCGTGCATAATACAATATTTTTGGATTGTATTCTGTGTGTGTAAACGTTATTATGATATGATATTATGATCATGATATGGTTGTGTAGTAATGTTACGCTGTCACTTTGGGAAAAGGGCATGAGCTTAAGCAGGCCGAGGACAGTGCTTGTGGAACTAGGACAGACGGGACAGAGTAAGTGTAAACTTGGACAACGATGTACAGGACAGGGGACATTTTACTCATGTTTATTTAGAAATAACAGTCTCAACAGTTTTTGGTTTCAAACGATTCCTTTTTTTTTGACACGACCTCCTTTGAAAACAGTTTCACAGGGTACGGAAGACGCTGGCGTGCACAAGAATGCTAAAAGGAAGACTACATACGGTCCTTTTTGCCTCTCCCAGTACTCCAGAGGGTTTTCCAGCCCGCTCATATTTGGCTCTGTAAGGCAGCGCTGGACCTCCACAGTGGCATCTGCCGTTGCATTTTGAGTCCTCCGTGACGCTGGTGTCCAAGTGATGCCACGGTTTGGAAACCACAGATCACGCTACTAAGTGTTCTCATAGGAGTAATCGATCTGAAATGTGAAATAATAGATCACCTCCCGTGACATCATGAGAGGTGGAAGCCTGGTGGATGTCCTCTGCGCATTGTTTTCACCGTATAATGTACAGCATCTCCCGGAGTGGCCCGATGAGGTCTGGTCTCCCATTTCCAACGCCGCTGCAGGTGCCCGGATGCTGCAGGTCAAGTGCTTCTTCACTATCACATTCAGTGTGTGTGTGTGTGTGTGCAACGCAGATATGGTGCCGAAGCTTCGGCTCCTCCCTCACACAGGAAACCACATCAGTGACCGTACATGTCACCTTATTAGCAATTCCCCATTCCTCCGTCAGGGAGGCCATTCGTCATATTGTAGTGACTCACCTCGGCCTCCGTATTCTCATGCAAGGCACAGTGAGGCCTTAACATTGATGAGGTGCTGTTATTGGACCCAGACTCCTTGGAGCGCAATAAACACCTCACCTTTGAATAAAATAAGAAACTGAAAAACACAGTTCTTGATAATGTAGGATATTAGAAACAAATTGACGAAATGCACATAGTGTCCACCAGAATACAGCCATGATTCTGGAACTGTGTAATCAATAAAGTAATGAGAATATTGTAAAACCACTGTAATTCTGCAGCTGTAATAGAACAATACCAATGTAGTTATGATCGTATTATATGTAATGTGATCAACTGGAATGCATGCATGTAATACTTGCACAACAACTGATATTGACTAAGGGCCGTTTGAAATTCGAGTTACATTGAACTCACCAGAAGACTCCCAGAGGTGTGGACACTGACTTTCACACCTTTAAGCATTGTTATAAATACCTGTAGGAACCATTGTTCTGGAGTTCGCTGGTGGAGGAACAGACGGGCTCTATGGGGGTCAAAGGACTGACCTGGGGCCTGTTGGCTGCTGAGACCAGCGGCTCCTCAGCTGAGATGTTCTTTCTACCACAACACCATCTCCTTTATTAAATACATTTGATTTAACCGTTTGATCAGCGATGACCTCTGTCCGTCCGGCGTTTCTTCACACAACAATGAGCAAACCTAATGTGTCTGAAACAGTTAGATTTAGCTCACCTTATTAGGAGAATCCTCCCCTTCCTACCTGGCTCCACCTCATCACGCATCCTTCTCTCCTCACTCTCCCCAAACTGTTCAACATGAAGAAACGCCGGACGGACAAACAACATTGTGGATCTAAAGGTTACAATCAAATGTATTTAATAAAATAAAGGGTGTTGTGGTAAAAAGAACAGCCGAGGAGCCGCTGGTTTTTGCAACCAACAGGCCCCAGTGCCCTTTGACCCCCAGAGTGCCCGTCTGCTGCCTCCGCCAGGTATTTATATCGATCCGTAAAGGTGTGAAAGTTGGTGTAAGTCGCTTTGGATAAAAGCGTCGGCTAAATGACCTGTAATGTAATAAATGCATTTTACTAATTTCTGAACCGAGTCGTCAGTTTATTTCTAAAATCCAACAAACGCTATTGTCGTACGAGCAAAACAAGGACGAGACTGAAGACTTTACTCAAAGCAACATGACAAAGTTTATCTGCAACAAGCGTGTTCTGTCCTGCAATGTAACGTGCACGGAGCTATTTTCAAGCAGTTTAACAACATGAAAAAAGGCGCTTAATACAAAGTGTGTGTATTATAGTGTATTATTTAGTCTCTAAGAGCATTTTTGATTGGTTATTAAGATGGAGGCGACTCAGAGCAGCACAGGGACGTCCATCCCTCCAGGCTCTCTAGTCAACATGCCTCCTCTTGTTCATGAGTTCTTCATATCAGGATGTTTTTGCAAGGTGATTTGCATACGAGTGCTTGGTTCTATGCATGGACACTTCTCCATAACATGGGGAACAAGTGGTTCCCGTTGAACTGCATTTCACCCAGACAGCGCTGCCTCTTTGTGCACTATGTTCGTGTGAGCTGATGAGTCCACAGAACATTCATATTTTTACATTACATGTCATTTAGCGGACACTTTTATCCAAAGCGACGTACAATGAGTGCATTCAACCATAGGGTACAAACTCAGAAGAACAAGAAACAAGAAAGTGCAATTTCCTCAAATAAGCCAATTTTCAATTTGCTATAGATCAGTGACGTTACAAGTACAATTTAAGTGCTACAATTTGTTGGTCTTTAGTCGGTAGAGTCTGAAGAGGTGTGTCTTTAGTTTGCGGTGGAAGATGTGAAGGCTCTCTGTGGTCCTGGTGTCTTCAGAGAGCTCGTTCCACCATTTAGGAGCAGGACAGCAAAGAGTGGAGATCTAGTCGAGTGTTCTGCTCTCAGTGAGCATATTTGCATATGTGGTCATGTGCATCCATCCACACGACAGAAATGAGATTTATCATCATGTGGCGCAATGGTTTCCTATTCTACCGGCAACGCCACTTGGGACAGGCCCAAGACCTTTTAAAGCACACAGGTTCGTCCACTCAACAGGCAACGGCTCGTGGTTCCCAGTTTACAAAAACATTTTTATTCAATAAATATACATTACCGTAAAATAAGAAAAGGAACTAATCGCTAAGGCCGAATGGTGAGAAGCGCCGGTGAAGGGGAAGGAAAATAGAACAAACCTAGAGAAAACCAAACCAGAGTTCACCCAGTGATCGCACAAACATCCAATGGGACACGACACACGAGGAAGACCACCACCACCCACACCACCGGCACCACCACCAGCCTACAGCCGCTAGGAAGGATGACAAAAAAAAGAAGGTTACAAGAGGATTAAACCAAATATTTACAACACAAAACAGAAAAAGAAAATAATTCACATAAAAATCATCCTAATCAAACAATTCACGTAATCCAAACAAAAAGAAAATAAGTGAAACAAAAGGAAAAACTACACAGGTCCAAGTCTGGTGCCGGCAATAGACCTGCTAGGTACGTCGCGCCGGAGACCAAACTGCACCGAACAGCTTTTAACAGGGCAGACAGTTACAGACAGATACAGACAGTTACAGACAGTTACAGACAGATACAGACAGTTACAGACAGTTACAGACAGATACAGACAGTTACAGACAGATACAGACAGATACAGACAGTTACAGACAGATACAGACAGTTACAGACAGATACAGACAGATACAGACAGATACAGACAGATACAGACAGTTACAGACAGTTACAGACAGTTACAGACAGTTACAGACGAGGTTACATGGAGCAGCAGACTAAGCACCAGAGGCCCCAATCAACGGAGTGCTGTCACATCGATCACCACCTGTGGCTTTCGGCCAGCTGATGATGATCCCTGTCAGTGAACATAGGGTTAGCATTGCCAAGCTACATGTCAAAGGTTTTTGGAAGCTAGTTTTAAAGTCATGTACCCGTTTCCCGGGTCAAACCTGCACAGGGAGGGAGAGAAAGAGCCACACGGCAGGAAGACGTCTACCGGTGACCACAATAACGTTAGCCACAGAATATCGTTGGGTCGAACACGGAGAGGGAGAACACTTACCGCCGGTTGAGAGGAACCAAGAGCAAAAAGGGGCACGGACACCTGACCGGGAAATGATGCATCAGTGGGGCGCGAGAAGGGGGGCAGCCTTTATATAGTACCGCCGCCCTAGTGGTCGGCAAGCAGGTAACTGTAGCAGGACAATCCTGTTTCCATACTGCTACAATCAGATTCATTTATTGATAAAGGAGTCAAAACCTTTCATACAAATACTAAATGAGAAAATAGTGTCAAAGGCCACGAAGAGGCAAAGACGGTTGATAAGTATTTATTGAATTAAAGAGTAACAACATGAAACCTCACCACTACATTAAGAGCAGCATTTATTGCATTAAAGAGTAGAAATGAACATGTGATATGTTTGAACATGCAAATAAGTCCTTATTTCATGGTTATTTCCAGTGAATTGAGGAGAAGTCCACAGATGCAATCAACAAACCCCTGAACATGTATTTTGATGCTTCCCTTTCACTGCAGTCTGAAACGTTTCATGAGAGAAAAATAGCTTGAAACGGATCATTGCACTAAAAAAAAACTAGTATCTGAGACTCATGCGTCCGCTCACATTCAGACGTGTAAATGTGTTGTTGCTGCACACCGGCAGCAGACTGAAGAACTCCTTCCTCCGGCGTCGGGGCGCGTCTCAACACGCCTCCGCCCGAGGGTGTGACCACGGTTTAGACATTGCGTGGGGTCCGCTGGACGCTACGGGCCGACGGGGGGCCGGACATTACGGAGCGAGCGGGCACTCAAGGGTCCCGGCGCGTTTCCCTTAACAAACGGTTCATGCTGTATATGGGGGGGGGGGGCACGACCCATGATATAAAGGAAAAGGAACGCCTGCCCGCATGGATGCGCTCTCCTGTTGTGAGTCCAGCGTTTGTAGAAGGTGCAAACACGGGGGCGTCAGTGGGCGCCATCCACGCATGAGAAGATGGAGGTTTTCCCCACCCACCCCGGCCATTTATCAGGTGGGATTATTCCTCACGACCTTTCAAGGCCTTTTCTCTTTGAGATTTCCACTTGGCTTTGCATTGATTAACCCTGCAGGGCGAGAGGAGGGCGTCGCTCACGCTTCTCAACCCTTTTATCTGCAGTGAACACGGAGCTTTTCTTTATTCAAGGGCTTGTTCGTTCGATTTGAGAGCAGAGTTTTTCTGCTCTGCACTCTTGTAGAAGGAAACGTTTCTGTCTTTCAGATTGACCTTCAGCTCAACTACAGACGTCTGCTCAGATTTCTCCTTCGTCCCCACAGTGTTGATGAAATGATTCCTTGAGTCCGCACTGTTCAATAGAGAATGACTGGCTGACGAGCGGCGGCAAAAGCATTATGACCGTGACACCCGGGGATTGAACACCATATTAGACAAAGCGATAACGGGTTCCTCATCCTTTGTTAGCTGCACTCTGTTCTGTTGGGTCATTTAATAGTCTGCTGGGGAGGTGGTGTTTCAGGTGTGAGAGGACTCCGCCACGCCGTTCAATACAAGCTGTGTGCCAAAGGTATCGAGAAAGTATCTAAGTATTTTTACTCATTATTTTGAGACATTGTGTCACATTTTAGGATACCTTGTTAAAGCGTAGAGGTCTGTCATCGTTCAGATGAAAGCTATATTTAGAGAAACACGTCTCCGTTAAAATAGTTATTATTGACAGAAACAGCAAAGAAATCGAATGAACTATTCAATAGAAGTAGATTTATATATAGATCAGTAATACGTGTTGTGCTTCTCTACGTTATTTCCGCGGTCAGCAGTACGGACCCGGTCTTTTGAAGTCTTTCCAAATGCTCACACGGTCAACGTCCGAATTCGTCGTGGTGGCGATCAGCTGCGAATAAGCACAGCGACTGTACTCCCGAGGAAACACGTGGAAGTAGTTCTGGCTCGGGGGGTCGGTGACTTGGATCCCCAAGTGCTTCATGCACAACCCCAAAAACACGTCCTCGATGTACACGGCATCAACGTGTCTGGAGGCCTCCACCAGCTTCTTGGGGAGGTCAAGGGACAAAACGTAGCCCAGGCCCAAAGCGTAACCAGGGTAATAATTCCAAGGGTAAATCTCCTCGGGGAGGAACCACTTGGAGGTCCGGTCCCTCAGGACCGCGCCTCCCCGCTCCACGAGGCCCGTCATGTAGTTCGTCTTCGGGGCGTCCAGCAACATCTCCACGAGCTTTGGCACGTTCAGAAACATGTCAGAGTCGATCTTCATGGCGTACGAGGCGCCGGAGCAGTGCGAGTCCAGCCACTCCATCATCACCATGGTCTTGATGGTGAGGTTCTTGTAGCAGTCCAGGAAGTCGCTTTGGATCAGGTCGTGGTACTGGCGGCTCTCCAGCAGGAGCTGCTCCTGGACCTGCGCCGCCCCTTCCCCGCCGGGAAGCCCCGTCAGGAACAACAGCGCCACGGCCCGGCCAGACGCCGCGCCCTCGCCGCCCCAGGTGTTGCGGATGATGTCGCGGTGGGCCCGATTCCCGGGCGCCACGGGAACCACCAGAACCAGGAAAGCCTTTTGCCGCTCACACGCCTCCGGCTCATTGACGACGAAGTGATACTCGGAGGGGTATTCCACCAGGTAGGGGCTCGGAGACCTGTACGGAGGTGCCGTCGCCTTCTCGGCTTCACTTGGAGTCGTCCGCTGAGTCGCCGCGTCCGTCGCCACTGGCGACGTCCTATTTGGAGGACTGGCGGCCAGGCTAAACGCTGTCGCAAACCCGCCGTGTTCAGATCCAGGCCCTCCGGCGCCGGAACCACTGGTGTTGGTGGAGACGGCGCTTTGTCTCTGACTATTAGATGAGAACCACCCCGCCGATTCCTTAATGTTGGTGTTGTAGAGGAAGTAAAGCACGGTCAACACCAGGATGAGGAAGAGGAACTGGCGGCGTGAGAAGCGATACCACCTTCTGCGTTCCTGCAGTTTCCCAGCATCCACGGCCTTCTGGCTGCGAGCAGAGAGGAGACGGTGACACAAACACACACACGCTATTGTACTTTTTGTGCCACAACAGTGGATCGAGGGATAATTCTTTATCCTTTGATTTGCAGTTTATTAGAAACCAAACAACGCAGAAGTGAGCTAAACTAACACAGCGGGACATTCCAGCAGTGCGTTTAACTTGGTAAACAACAGCAACAACAGCTGTTCCCCAGGCAGATGGGACGGGAGACATCCGTCAATTAAGGATGGAACATGAGGGACTCCTCCTCTGGTCCAATCAGACCTGTCCTGATGCCCTGAAGCTTGATCCAGGACCACGGTGGATCCAGAAGATGTGGATCCAACAGTCTTCTTCCACTTCTGCAGAATTGTAAAAGGTTGGAGTACTTCTACTACTGCAGTATTACTACTTAGATGAAAGCTCTGAGTACTTCCTTCACCTCTACAGTGTGAAGATGCTACTTTGTAGATCCCAAAAAAAAATTCTTGTGTTTCATTAAAGTTAAAATAGAAGGATAGCAAAAAGATCTATAATAAAAATATGAACCTATATAAACAATACATTATTATACCAGCGTCATAGCTGTAGAGATTGAACAAAGTGTTTGTTATGTCTATGACCACCTTTGTTTTAGCATGTTGGGAGAGCGAGGACACGGCCAAAGAACTGACGTGTCTCACATGGATAAGATGTTCCCAGTACCCTGGCTGTAGAGACTCAACAAGATGGTTAACGGTTTCTGTTGACGCCACCGATATCTAAACTTAGAACTGCCTCGATGTGTTGGGGCAAAAAGGAGGTTCTTGACAGTCTACTGACCACGTAGCTGTTGTGACCCTCTTTCCCTTGCAAGGAAATAAACGGAGAAAAGACATACTTGACTCAGAGCCTTTGATTCTTACTTAACAATTGTCTGTGCAAAGTCTTCCACCACACCTCTCTTAGTTAAACCTGTGACTTCAACTGTTCCACGGCGGCAATGCGTGTTTACACGTCTTCTTTCATCGATCCATTTGTTGTCTTTCCTCCCGCCTGTGACAACGTGATGCGTACGGTCACATTGGTTTACGGGTCCGTTCCTGCCAACGTCCCACCTCAGAGATCTCTGGGGTGCATTTCTCAGAGCTACCTGCTCATCTGAGGTGATTGGGTTGATGATTTATTTATTCATGGTTTTCCTAAATTCTAGTTAGTAATAAATACTTAATCATACTCTGGATTCCTCACACGAGCGTTATCCACTGATAAAATGACGTACCTGCGTCCCAGCGGAGCGGAGCCGCTCTCCAGCATGTTGAAACTCCCCGGCAGCCGATCCGCGTCCTTTTTCTTAAGCTTGTTAAACATAAAAAAAAAGGAACTAAAGCAGAGGCCAAAGTTTCACTGAAAAATGCATGACAGCACTTTGAGGCGTTGCGTCGCCACTGAAGTGACACACACACACACACACACACACACGGACACACACGGACACACGCACACACGCGCAGGTTACCTGTCGGGACAAACTCCAAAGCGCACACCCTCCGGTTATTTCCCCCCGATCCGGCCATTTTTATGGCGGTTGTTTTCCTCGCCGCTGTCAACCAGGCTCCCGGGCGGTGGGAGTAACCGAGGCACTGTGACGCTGAGAACCTTTTCCCCTCCCCCTGGGACCACGCCTTTGTTTTTTCAAGCCAGCCACACCTCCGCCCCCCCCCCCCCCCCCTCGGTTTTGCCTGTGTTGTTTTACCTTTAAGGCGGACGCGCAGGCGGGAAAGCTCCAGAGGGTTTAAGGAACAGCTCCTCTGACACCTGGTTGTGTGTCTGTGTGCGTCTGTGTGTCTGTGTGTGTGTCTGTACTGATTCAGGTGTATTCCAGGATCTATTACTATTATTTATTAATGAACCCTATATTTGGTTGGTGTGTTGCCGTGTAGGTTTTGGACAAACCCTCATTGGTGATGAGGAATTATTAAATAAGTAAGAGTACATCTCTTCAAGTACTGCATTCAAGTACAAAAATAGATACTTGTGCTTAGTTAAGTATCTCCACTTTCTGCATCTTCTCATCCACTTCACGTCGGAGGTAAATATTGTACTTTTTATTGTGCAACATCTCGGGGGTAAACCGGTATATATTGTACTTTTCACCGTATTTCCTCTTAGCCTAGCTTAGCATCAAGAGTGGAGGGGAACGGCTAGCCTGCCTCTCTTCTAACACCTTACTTTCAATAACTGGAAAATCCAGATGTATCTAGATGTGATGAAACGCGAGACGTGAAGCTCGGCCGCCGAGGAAAACGCTGCCGTGCTTGGTGATTGGTTGAAAATCGGACACTTTTTGTTGCCGCCCTGGAGAAAGACAGAAACCGGTTCTGCACATTGAGATTGGTTCGAATCGTCTCCTGTTACGAACCCCGGGGTTACCTCCCTACTGCGGTTTGAACCTACTGGTTCTGCTGGTCTGCCTCCATTCCATTGGCTGACAATTCCATCAAGAGGCGCAATTCAGAATTTGGCTGAAGAGCGGCTGAGATCAGACACAACTACATCTCATTTCTCTGCCGGATGAGATGTTGCAGGCTCCTTGCTTAATGTTTGCGGGTACTTTTCTTTCTGTGTGCCATACAAATATATATATATATACACTGACATTTTCTTATTTTATATCTATGCATTCCCTGTTATGACACAGGCCGTCATATACAGCGCAGTATTCACAGCGCTTCACTTTTTCCACATTTTGTTATGTTACAGCCTTATTCCAAAATGGATTAAATTCATTATTTTCCTCAACATTCTACACACAACAACCCATAATGACAAAGTGAAAACTTGAAACATAACATGTACATACGTATACGACATACGTCACGGCCTTTGCTCAATACTTTGTTGAAGCACCTTTGGCAGCAACTACAGCCTCAAGTCTTCTTGGGTGTGATTCCACAAGCGTGGTGCACCTGTTTCTGGGCAGTTTCTCCCATTCTTCTTTGCAGAACCTCTCAAGGTCCATCGGGTTGGATGGGGAGCGTCGGTGCGCGGCCATTTTCAGATCTCTCCAGAGATGTTCCATCAGGCTCAAGTCAGGGCTCTGGCTGGGCCACTCGAGGACATTCACAGAGTCCCGAAGCAGCTCTTTTGTTACCTTGGCTGTGTGTTTCGGGTCGTTGGCAGATGAAGCGTCGCCCCAGTCTGAGGTCCAGAGCGCCTTGGAGCATGTTTTCATCGAGGATGTCTCTGTACATTGCTGCCTTCATCTTTCCCTCAATCCTGACTCGTCTCCCAGTTCCTCCCGCTGAAGAACATCCCCACAGCATGATGTTGCCACCACCATGCTTCACTGTAGGGACGGTGTTGACCAGGTGATGAGCAGCGCCTGGTTTCCTCCAGACATGACGCTTGGCAAAGTATTGGAACATGTGACTGACAGGTGTTTCTTGTTGCCCAGGTGTTGCCTTTTAGGTCGGTTGTCCAAACATTAAATAGCTCTGCGTGACCAGTCTAAGTTTTCACCCTCGGTTCAAACCTGCATTTCCTGTTAAAGAGGATAAACCAACATGAAGACCAGAGATCTGTCTGTGGGAGAAAGGCAAGTCATTGTCAAGCTGAGAAAAGAAGGAAAGTCGATCAGAGTCATTGGACAAACATTGGGAATAGCAAGCACAACTATTTGGAATGTCCTGAAAAAGAAAGAAACTACTGGTGTTCTGAGTAACACGTCCAACAGGTCGGCCAAGGAAAACAACAGTAGCTGATGACAGAAGTATCGTGAGAGCTGTGAAGAAAACATCAGTAAGTGACATCACAGTGACCTCCACAGGGCAGGAGTGAAGGTATCACAATCCACTGTTCAAAGACTCAGAGAGCAGAAATATAGGGGCCACACCACAAGAAACCACTCATCAGCAGTCAGAATCGGAAGGCCAGATTGGAATTTGCAAAGAAGTAGAGAGATGAGCCGCAAAAGTTCTGGAACACAAGCTCATGGACTGATGAGAACAAGATGAATCTCTACCAAAGTGATGGAAAGGCCAAAGTGTGGAGAAAGAAAGGAACTGCTTATGATCCGAAGCACACAAGCTCATCTGTGAAGCATGGTGGAGGAAACGTCACGGCTGCTTCTGGAACAGGCTCATTGATACTTACTGATGATGTAACTGATGATGGCAGCAGCAGAATGAATTCAGAAGTGCACAGAAACATTTTGTCTGCCAATTCACGGAGAAATGCATTGAAACTAATCGGGAGAAAGTTGATCATGCAGCAGGACAACGACCCAAAGCACACTGCCAACAAAACAAAGGACTTCATCGGGGGGAAAAGTGGAAGGTTTTAGACTGGCCAAGTCAATCAACTGACCTTAACCCAATAGAGCATGTATTTCACCGCCTTAAGAGGAGACTAAAGGGAGGAACACCCAAAACAAACAAGAACTAAGAGAAGCTGCGCTGGAACAGCACCACAAACTTGAAAAATGGGTGGGTTCAAACAAAGGGTGGTTTGTCGTGCGTTGTTTGACACATCTAGAATACCAGGAAATAAAAGCTGAAATTCTGAACCCTTGTCTCATGCTCATCTTTTGATCTTAAACCCAAATGTCTTCAGTGAACAACAGAAATAAAGGAATTTTCCTTACCGTTCCAATACTTTCGGAGGGGACTGTAATCAATATGGCTATGGGGATTGTCTATGATAAGAGGTCTATTCTGTTATGAAGTGCTTTCATATTTTTTATAAAGTGGTCCCTCATTCACTACACAACATGTCTGATGGGATCGAAGGCTTAAAAAAAGGAACAAACCATAAAAAAAAGAGTGGGAAGTTTATATATTTTATAATTTAAAGTTGAGATCAGGATGATGCATTTTTGCAACTGATCTCAATTTGTATATTAACTATATTTAGCATGACTTTTAAATATTGTATTGTATATTTAAAAATATATTCATATATACATACACACATATATATTATACTGACATCTTATTGTTTTATATCTGTGCATTCCCTGTTATGACACATCAATAATTTTCCAGATAACCCTTTTAGTTTAAAAAAATGTGTCAGTTTTAGTGTGCAAATGCATTTTCGAGCAGAGGCCTAAAAAACACCAACAGGTTATTAGTTGTGGGAAAGCTTGTGTAGAAAATTCCTTTCTGCTGACAATATTCTTGAAAATACTAATGAAGACGAGTATTAACAATCAAGAGTAAAACCCCAAATGAGTAGAGGCCTTAGTGTGTTCATCAGAGCCTTGTCTTTGGTTGCCATGTTCGACAAACTGAAGTCGTAATGAACCGGCAGGTGCGAAAGGGAAGTGGCACATCGGCCATGAGTCCACGTGAACTCAGGTCAGCTCACAAAGAGTCAAAGTGCCCGCAGGAGTGTTTATTACACCGGCCTTTTAATAACATCCTGAGAAGCCTGTGCACTTATTTAGTTTGCAAATATGAGTGGAACCTTGCTCACACAAGTGAAAGCAGCAACACCAGAAAATGCTCTTTAAGAATGAACGTGTTACCGTTTGTGATCTTATTGAAGTAAAAAAAAGACGTTCGTTTTTTGCCAATTGTAAATAAATAATCAGGGAAATTAATTAGATACTTGATCTAAAAAGGTTTTTAATTGTAGGAATTTACAATTAGATAGAGAAAAAACAAGGGAGGCCCTCATATATGTCCGTTGGAATAATCTACTTGAGCCTGTGCACAGTCTCAGACATGTTAAGAACTAAACAGAAAAGAGAATTTTTACACATTTTGCACCATCTCAACTCACAAAAAGTATCATTTTTTATTATTCCCTTTTTTTTCTTTTTAACATGCGTTTTTTATTTTTCTTTGTATTCTTAAAACAACAGAAAAATGTTTTTGTCATCAAATGTAGTGCAATGAAGTATTTATGGAGCCGCCGGTAAACATTTTACCGTAAACAACAGCAAACGCAAATGAGAATGCGTTTCCAAACACACGCACACACACACACACACACACACACACGCACACACACACACACACACACACACACACACACACGCACACACACACACACACACACACACACACACACACACACATTAAACGTGTATACAATTTGTAAGATACATCTAAAATGTAAGATTTGAAGCCTTCTGTAAATTATGAAGGAAAACCAGGTAACATGATGTTTTAAATAAACACATCTGAAAACCTTTCATGGATCATACCTTGAGGAAAAGGAATCAGGTTCTTTTGGCCGATCTTTTTTTTACAAGCCAAGGTGTGGCTTGTTGTTGCAGGTGTGCTTGATGACCTTTCACAGGTGGGGGGGCGTATATGTGTCAACGCAGATCAGGCTCCATTGTCTGCTTGGGGCTCTTTGCTGAAGGGGAAATGTTTAACTGACATCCATATACGGTTTGTAGAATTGCTTCACCAGAAACCTGTTTAGCTTGTGTGTGACGCCACTCCCAACAAAACAACAAAAGCAGCACCGGCTCAGGTCTGTTGTGTCCTTTAACACAAGTAGGTAAAAAGTGGGAAAGAGGCACTGAAAAGAAAATAACTTTTGGTGATTTCCGCAGCGGGTTTGATCATGTTTAGATGAAGTGTGACGTGTTTTGCCACTGAAGACGTCACGCTTGGTTTTGTTAAAGGCCTGTAGGGCCGACAGGAACAGGAACAGTCACACATAATCAATATGACTACGGGTATTGTCTACGATAAAAGGTCTTAAGCTTAAAAAAAAGAACAAACCATAAAAAAACAGAGTGGGAAGTTCATATATTTAATAGTTTAAAGTTGATCTCAATTTATATACTATACTATACTTTATTAACTATCTAGTATAACTTTTAAATATTGTATTGTATTTATAAAACCTATATTTATAAATCTATATATACATTGAGAGATCTAGACAATGCGCATAAAAGGGCATCGCGGGCTCCCGTCCTTTCACTTCCGGGTGCTGCGTCACGACGCAAGGGGAGCGTCACGCCCGGCGTGCCGCGTCATAACTTCCAACACAACCCGCCGCTTCCTGGCCGGCGCAGGCACGCGCCTCAGGACTGAACCGTTACCCGGACCTCCTCATCACCATCACCGCCACTCCCCGGTTCCTCCGACCGCTCCGCGAGGAACCGCCGCCGCCGGGATGAGTGAATGAAAGGGCCGTGATCGAGGAAGAGGTCCCGGGACTCAGGTGCTCGGTGAGTTAACGGGCTCCCGGATGAAGAACTGGGTCTTTTTTTTTGTGTCTCCTCGGACGATTCTGAAGCGACCCGGGAGAAGGTTGGGGCTTTTTTTTTTTTTTAATTTCGCGTACAATAAGCAGCGATACTTTACGGAGTGCTCGGTCAGTTTCAGTGTTAAACGGTGTTAAACGGTGACACGTTGCTGACCCGCTGGCATCGATCGTCTCAACTGTAATCTAATTAAAGCTGCGATGACGTCACCTCCACGTTCCTCCAGCAAGCGCAGCCACAAGTCTGAGGTGGTCCTGCGTAGAACTTTAGTCCTGGTTCATTCTATTTGAGTGGGGAAACCAAGGAATTGTGTCCAGTGAGCCTCTCTGTGGATTCACCACAGACACAGTACAACAAATACACATGTAAGTACTGAAGTACTTGTATCTGAGAGCTCGATCCTCATTGTGGAACTAGATTTATTAAAAAAACAACTCAAAAGTCAGACTTAAAAAAACAACAAAACGGAGATATTTGCACTTTTGAGTATTTTTTTCCAAATAAAGTACTTTTCATTAGTACTAAACGGCAGAAGTAAATATTGCACTTTTGTCTTCAGTTACTTTTCTTTTGACTGTTCTTCCTCCGTCTTAACGTCTCTCATTGACAATAACTAATCAGCGTGTCCTTAAACCCGTCCGTCCACAGCGCCAGGGTCGGGGGGGGGGGGGCTGAGGCGCTGCCGTGGTGATGGTGTTGGACTCGGGTGAAGTCATCATGGATCAGCTCGAGGTTGAACGTGTCGGGGGCAGCAGGGACCCGCCGGATCCAGATGTGCGGGCGTCCAAAAGGGGCGACGGTGCCTCGAAGGAGAAGGTGCCCCACAACGGACTTCCGGCCCAGACGCGCGGCGGCCAGGCGGCACAGAAGAGGCCGTCGTTGTCGTCCTCCCGGAGAGGCGGAGACACGCCGAGGCCGCCGCTGCGTCGCCCGCTCAGCCTGGAGATAACGCCCCAGCGCCTGCGATGGTCTCCGGAGCAGTTGGCCAACGGGCGCGTGATGCAGCCGCCCTGGCGGAGCGGCTCGGCCGCCCCGTCGGCCCCGGCCCGCGGGCCCTAAGCAGCCTCGCCGCCGGCGGCTGGGATGCGCCGGAGCGAGAGCACCCGCTCCGTTAACTGCTCCCCGGGGCTCCCGGTCGGCGGGGGCCGGATGAGGCCCGCCACCTCGCTGCCGCACATAGCGAGGAGGAGAGGTCGGCCGGACGCCGGCTCCGCCCTCCAGGCCGTGTCTGCTGGTCGCCCTCAGGCCGTTGAACCTGGAGCAGGAGAAGCAGACTTTCTTCCAGTCCAACTACGAGTACGAGCCTCAGTTTGAGTACTCGCAGCCAGAGCCCAGGAGCGTGTTGGAGAAGTACCAAGAGGGTTCAGGCCTCTTCCTGCAACAGGTACAGTACCGCTACGGGTCACCGGGCAGTTCGTCAGGGGTTAAAGCAGCATTCTCTCCACTGACCAGCAGGGGGCGACGTCTCTGAGCAGTCACCGTGTAGCGGCGCCCTACAGCATCCCCTGATTTATGGTCTGTTTGACTCTACATGGAACTAAATGAGCTAAATTGAAACTACAGATTGAGACCAAAACCTCATGTTTACTGAGGGAATAAATAGAGCGAGAAGTGTCTCATAGACCTCTACGGGACCAGAGGAGTCGCCTCCTGGTGGTCAGCAGGGAGAATGCAGAACCGGAGGTCGGCACCCGGTATTTCCTCCTCCTTCTGTTCGGTCCAACAACGGCCTCGATGAGTTTTCTGTCTCCCTGCAGGCGGTGGGAATCATGGAGTGCGTCCTGAAGAAGTTCGGCTCCTATGAGAACTTCGAGGAGGTGACGGGCGGCAGCGTCCTCCCTAAGAGTCAGGTCTGGGCCGCCGTGCGCAAATACCTGCAGAAGGAAGGCTGCGTGGGAGAGGTGAGCGGGAGGCGACCCTCTCAACCTCACCGATGACCTTTAAACAAGCTCTGGTTTTAGCGGAAAAAGACCCCGAGCTTGGACCCTCTCGGGGTGACCGCGGCGTTGTGTGCGTCCACAGGTGGTTGTGCGGCTGTCGGACGAGCTGCTGTCCCAGGCGGTGATGGTGGTGGAGAGCTGCCGTCCCACGCTGACCATCAACCTGGCCGGAGCGCGGCAGCACTGGCTGGAGGGGATGCTGCGACACGAGATCGGTAGGCTCGGCCGGTCCGGGCGTTATAAACCGGTTGTGCTTTTTGCTGTGACGAAACGCGTCCGCTTCGCCGCGTGGCCGAATTAACCATCAGATTAAAGAAGGGAAATGACGTCTCCTCAGGGACGCATTACCTCCGAGGGGTGAACAACAACCTGCAGCCGTGGGCCACCGCCGAGGGCAGGAAGCGCTTCGGCCTCAAACCCGCCAACCCCACGGAGGAGGGCCTGGCCAGCCTGCACAGCGTGCTGCTACGGAGACAGCCCTACCTGTGGCGCGCGGCGCTGCTGTACTACACGGTGTACCACGCCACCAGCATGAGCTTCAGCCGGCTCTTCGGCCACATCGCTCGCTTCGTCCAGGACCCGGACGTCCGCTGGGAGTACTGCCTGAGGGCCAAGCGGGGGCAGACGGACACCTCGCGGCCAGGTAACCGCACACATGCACGCACACAAGCGCCATCACATCCGTCCGCAGACCATCAAGTCACCGTGACTACGTCCACTCAGTCTGTGGTGTTTGAGCAGCTCGACGGTTTTTGAGGGATTTCAGTGAGTAAATGTACATGATACACTGTTGTACTGGAAGGATTTTGTGTTTTACACTTATTTCTGTGCCAGGTTGCTTCAGTAAAGACCAGGTTTATCTGGACGGGATCCTCCGAATCCTCCGACACCGAAGGAACATCGACTTCAAGATGTTGACGTCTTTAGGGAAGGTCCGTGTCGATTCCTTTAGTACCAATAAAACAAGACTAGGAAGTATTCACGCAAATATACTGTAAGGAGATAAATAAAATAAAACATCTTTTTTTAAGTTCTCTATTTAATCACTTTAACTGTTGGTGGACAAATGATTGAAAAATCGTATTATTTGTCACCATCTCAAAGAAACATAGAAAACTGAAGTAATTGTAATAATGACGCAAAGTAATAAAAAAGGAATAGCTGATAAAACTGGAACAGAACTTTAACATGAAGTTGAAGACCATTTACGCCAATGGCATTAAAGGTATTAAGAACAAAATGCCGCAGGTAAAAAGGCAGTGCGATAAGCTGCAGCGTGGCCCTCTGCAGGGCATTCTGGGTAAAGACAAGAAAGAGGTACTTGGCGCGTTTCCACCGAGCGGTGCGGTACGGTTCGGATTTTTGGTACCATTCTCAACTTTTGGCAGTGGAGACACAAATAAAAGGGTACCGACCCGCTCGGAGGAAACGCGCCATAAGTGACCAAATGACCGCGTTTCTCATAAGCAGCAGTGATGTAAAAGTTAGAGGGGAAATACTTTCATTTGAGTTCATTATTCTTTTTTTTACATGATTTCAAATTTTATTCAAGAATGAGTTAAATTTCTGACAAACCTCCTGTGTATCAAATGATTTGATACGGATATCTTGAATTGTGACTTATTTAAAATAATTTCTCTGGATAAACATTTGTGGATTTTGTTGCGGTGAAAATTTTGGGTTTAAGCCCAGTTGGAAACCAGATGTCGTAGGAAACGCCGTGTCCCTCCCTTGATGTGACACCGGCCATCATTCGCTAACAGACAGAAGGAAAAGCAACACCAGCTCCGGCTGTGATAACAGACTTCAGGTTACAGGTTTTCTGAGAAACTCACAATGTGCAGATCAAAAATTCTCCAACAGTTCCAATATAGTGAAGTAGAAAGTTAAACATTTTACCTCCAGAGATGAGAGAAGTAAAACCGTTTAAAGTACTTGTTGCTGTAAGTCGGGCGTTGAACTCTTCTCCTCGTTCAGGTGTCTTTTGAAGACGTGGAGATGTTGCGTCCTCTGGTGGTCCTCCCGCGGACCAGAATCCCCCACTTCATGCGAGACCAGGGGCGCTACCTGCAGCACCTGGATCACATCGTCACCACCAACGACCTGGACGACTCGGCGCTGCAACACCTGCTCCCCTGACCCCTGACCCCCCTCCTCCCCCAGGAGGTACACGCGGTGCATCTAATGTCACAACCAGTATTATCAACGCTTCGTTTGAGCATTTTTATTTTATTTTTGTACTCAAACAAAAAGGGACGCACACACTTACACCTGTAGTTACATTTTGTCTTTTGTCCAATGCATGTCCCCCCCCCCCCCATCTTTGCTACTACTATGAAGTTACCTCAATACTGCAACTACGATGTAACCAACATTAAATATGTAAACTCGTACATAATCACTGCATCCGCCGCCTGTACAGGACACGCTAACGTACGGATTTAATTGTGCTTCATTTATGCAAATATTTTTTTTTTTTTTACTTTGGAAGAACAAACTGAATGTCTCTGGTATTAGTTTTATACTTTTTATCTTGTTTAATGCCTTACGTTGTTTGCATTGTTTTAAAAGGACACACACTAAATCAAGTGCCAGTGGAGTCAAACGTTTTTAAAATGAGTGTTATTACGAAGACGATAATGAGCTGCTTGTTATCGACTTATTAGTGTCCTTGGTGCTCTTTGCGGATCGATGCGCTACTGTGACGTGACCCCCCTCTGGCAGAGGACATGATTTCTTGCAGAAAGCCAGATGAGAAGCTCAACAGCCACTCGGTATGTAGCATTAAATTAGGAGTTAAATCGGCTTCATATTTACACATCGGGCTCTAAATTAATACAACTAAAACCACAAGAATAAGGAAATAGTTATGACGTTAGCATATCCGGCTAGTAGCTGAGCTTGACTCACATTGTCTGACACTAGAAAGACTAGTGAAGGGAAAACCCTCATGAGGCTGAAAATCTTCTCCTTACTCTCTGCAACAAAGCCAATAAGCGCATTTCCCAAAATATCAAGCTGCTTTTAACGTGAAGATCATCTGCAATAGTGCCATTTATTTTTCGTCCCCGGGGACACTGACTGATGGCGTTTGGGGGAATTTGTGGGCGTGTCTTTCTATGGGCGTGTCCGCAGGCTTCTTTTTGCTATGGTTGACCCTTGACCCTGTTTTATGAGCGAGACGGCTCAGTCCGGGTTTTGACTTACAAAAAAATAGGGGGGAGAGAAGAGTGACAATTGTAAATTATACTTCTCTAAAAATGCTGAATTAGATTAGAAATTGATTGTACCTTGTTTACAATTTAAGCCATTCAAAAAAATGAAAAACAAAGGCGCTCATCTGTCACGCACGAATGTTGCACAAGTTTTTGTGTTCTGGAAATAAACTTGAAGTTCCAGTTTATTTATTAAAAAGTACACACTCAACCGGCTGTCTGGTTTCTTTTGGTGAAGTGGGATCATGGGAGAAGAAAAAAAACGAGGAAACGTACCAAAGATGAATGTAACGTTAGCTTAATCTCTTACGCGGCTACTGCAGCTAACGTTAACGAACAAAAGGCCGGTTGAAGAGGAAGTCAGTAATTTAAAGGTCAGTAAGTCAAAATACTCAATGTCACGTGCGGCTGTTTTGACTCATTCGTACCATGTTTTAATGGTTAACCATATATATTTATCTACATTGTAGATTAATATTGAAGACAAGGACAAACAAGTATCTGGTAAACATTTGAAGTTGGTATTTTAGATTCTTCACGAGGTAGTCAACTGGAAGGGTTTCATTTAACTGTGCCTCTTCAAGAGTTGATTTCCTGCCCTCTCAATGTGTTTGAGACCATCAGTCGGGTTGGTGTAGAGTTCTATGCGGTGAATAAACCTCTTCCACTACAGTTGTAATCTGGATTACAGCAAGAACCACTCAACTAAGTAAAGGACAACACTCCATTACTTGAGAGCGAGGTCAGTCATCCAGACGACTACAAAAACGTTGACTGCATCCTCAAGTAGTGGAGAAAACCAATGCTGTGATGAAAAGTGTCTCATGAGGACGCGCCAGGACAGGAAGACCTAGACTGCTGCCGAGGAGAAGTTCATTAGTTACCAACCTCAGATCAGATCCCACAGAAATGCTTTAAGTAGCAGACACATCCCCGGTTTCAGAATCAGGCCTGTGGGGTCGACCCGCTGCAAGGGAGGGACAATAAACCACTCGCAGAGTCTTTGAGAGACGCAGAAAAGGGATTGTGGATGTGTGGTTCCCGCCCTGAAGGATCAGGGACAGACCTCCAGGCTCTGCAAGGGCTCTTTGACCAAGAAGGAGCGTGACGGAGTCCCGGGTCACATGACCAGGCCTCCACCTAAACACCCGGCTGAGTTGGACCGCAGAGGGAAGCAGCCAACAAGCGCTCAGCACCTCTGGAGCTCCTTCAAGCCCGCTGGAGAACCATCCAGGGTCACTACCTCATGAGGGTGGTGCAAATCTGTCAAAGCAAAAGGTCTGAAATATAAAAGGTTTTCTGAGCATTTTTTAGTTTACCACATAATTCCACATCTGTTCCTTGTCTTCAATATTAATCTACATGTAGAACACAAGGAAAAACATTGAATGAGAAGGTGTCCAAACTTTAACAGGTACTGTGATTTTTTTAAAATGTTATATATATATATATATATATATATATATAAATTAAACAAATTAAAAAAAAATCACAGTACCTGTTAAAGTTTGGACACCTTAACAGGTACTGTGATTTTTTAAAAATTTGGTTTATTTATATATATATATATATATATATATATATAAATTAAACAAATTTAAAAAAAATCACAGTACCTGTTCACAGTTTGTACACCTTATTCCGTAGTGTGATTTTTTTAAAAATTTGTTTAATCTAATATATATATATATTATATATGCGCCTGATTTGTAGAGAATAGGAATAAGTACCAAATTTCTCACATGTAGTTGAAAGCATTCCGTGCTTGAGTAAATATACTTGCTTATAATCCACTACTGCTTCACATTTAAAATCAGAAAAAAAAAAAAAAAAGTCTTCTGACTCAATCAAAAGTCCAACACGCTCTTCTTTAAATAAAAATGGTTTATTCTCTTTCAATATAGCTTTTGTTCTCTCCGCAGCAGAAAAGAGCCTCCATGCCACTCAGTGCTAAAACTGGATCTCAGGTCACCACAGCATCGTAATGACGGACGAACGTCTTTACAGCACAACACTGGCTTGATACTGAACCAACAGTCACTTTGCTCATTTTAAAAACGGGTTCGGGAGGAGGGGAGGAGGGGGGGTGGGGGGGGAGGGGGTGTAGGGGGCAGGGGGGGGAGGAGGGTTCAGATCGGATTTATCGTTGACTCGGACCCAAAGAGCTCAGATCCCCCTCACCACCCCCCCCACCCCCAGGGCTTTGTTGGGAAAAGTTTAATCCGTGCTTGTTTGTGTATTCTGCAAAATTGACATCTTGCATCCAGTATGGCTGTTGTTGTGGAGGCAGAGGTTTCGGCCACGAAAAAGGTCACAAGTTGAGGTAACAAAGATTCTTCCTGATTGGAAGAGAGGAGAAAACAGACCAATCAGAGGCCAGTAAACTAATGGTACGCTTACCGTTTAGGAGAAACGTTGTGCTGCATATGCAGCACGTATAATATAATCCATATAATCAAAATCCCCACAAAACATCAACACAATTGAAATCATCGCCTTAATAGTTTACATTAAAAGCTTGCGAGTGGAGGATTTATTGCATGGCTGTTATATATTATATATACATATATATATGTGTATATATATATATATATTATATATATATGTGTGTGTGTGTTACCTGCTCTCTGGTTATCATGTCGCATTGGAGCTGCTTATGGCCTTTGTGCCGTCTGTGTTGGCGTTCGCCTGTTCCTTCACCACGGGATCTGAGAGACACACACGGAACCGGGTGAATCGTACACACGTGTGTCTTTGTCCGATACATCAGGTGTGTGTAACTGTTAGACGACGTACCAAAGGCGGTTTATAAGATTTGTCTCACGTCACAGTATTAAGCTAAATCAAATCTCATTTAAATGGTATTACTAAAAGGAAGATTCCCTAAACATTATAGAAGGTCGGTAGCTGAAATTAGGTCAAAAATGTCCATTTTAATTGCAGACTTTCTCGCGGTTCACTGGTCGGAGAAGCGATGGTTAGAAGGCGGTTAGCCGTAGTTAGCGGACGCTGCGCTCACAGAAGTACGGGTGCTGCATGGCCTCGGCCGCCGTCAACCTCTGCTGGTGGTCGTAGCGGAGCAGCTTGTCCAGAAGGTCCAGAGCCTCCGGACTCACCAGGTGCTGGTTCTCTGACTGGATGAACTGCTCCCAGCGCTTCCTCGTCTGCCTGGGTGACAAAAAAACAAACCACCATGAGTAGAATATTCCCACCGATGTTCAGGAATCACACTCAGTGACAAACACGTGAAGCAGACCGGAGGTAGTTCAATGACACTCACTGTCCCAGCAGGTCTTTGAAGCGAGTGTCCAGTTCTATGTGGTATTTGTGCAGGTAACCGAAGAGCTCGTCTGTGCCCAGAACCTTAGCGATGCGGACCAGCTGGAAAACAACATTTACCACTGAGTCACCGTGGAGACACTTCCCTACGATCACAGGGGTCAATACGTCCCGTCCAGAGTTAAAAAGGTGCGGCGGTCGTCATCACGCAGGCGTACCTGGTCGTAGTTGTCCTGGCCGTGAAAAAACGGCTCCTTCAGAAAGATCATGCTGGCCAACATGCAGCCTAGACTCCACATGTCCAAACTATAGTCATACATCTGCAGACGGGGAAAGAAGAGAATACCAGAGCATCAGCAGCAGCGTCGCTGTGCGTCTGGTCCCCACAGGGAACATGTGTGCGAGCGGCTACCTGATAGTCCACTAGCAGCTCAGGGCCTTTGAAATAGCGGGAGGCCACCCGGACGTTGTATTCCTGAGCGGGATGGTAGAACTCTGCCAAACCCCAATCTATGAGACGCAGCTGAGACGGAGAGCAGACAGACATGTGAGCTCTCTCCCTGTGGGCGTGAAGTCTGCGCCACAGCAGCCGTCACAGAGGGACATTATTTACTGCTATTTGACTACAGATCCTGTTATTTATTAAAAAAAAATCCATCTCTACAGAATTACACTAGAAAACAAAACAATCGCGATGATTTATTTGAGGGGCCGATACCTTTCTCATCTGGTGGTCAATCATCACGTTGTGGGGCTTCACGTCGCGGTGCATGATGCCCATACTGTGGCAGTAGTCCAGAGCCTGAAAACACACATTAGTATTTTACAATTAAACAAAAGGATGGAAACTACATATTGTTAACTTTATTATTCACATGTTCAGAAAATAGGAACAATCCGATGATCATCACATCTTTAATTTATTATTTTTTTAACAAAATCCAAAATGGACACAACATTTTTATTTTTAAATCAGGTGGTGAACATCCCGATGGGTAAAGTAATCAGTGCAGGAGGCTTCTCTTCACCTTGAGCAGCTCATACATGTAGTAACGGATGTCGTAGTCGGTCAGCTTCTGGTAAAGCTCCTGTGGAACAACATGAAAACCAGTTCAGAGGAGAAACGCCAGCGGCTCAACTGGCATCGGCACGTGTGCATTAAACCGCAGGGCTCGTATGTGCGCCATTAATAATGGAAATAAATAAAGTTTGATGTCGGCCAAAAGTACCTTAAAATCTGTGTTATTGATGCACTCAAAGACGAGCGCTGGTGTCCTCGACTGCAAAGAGAGAACATGAGGCTTAACTAAGGAGCAGCAGGAAGGTGAAGATCATTATAACACACACACACACACACACACACACACACACAACACTCACCACCGGGTCTTTCACCGTGTCCACCAGGCGGATGATGTTGGTCCCCCCGCGCAGGTTTTCAAGAATTTTGATTTCGCGTTTGATCTTCTTCTTCTTGACGGGCTGCAAAATGTAAAACAGAAAGCTTAAAACAAAACAATGGGAAGCTCGTATATTTATTTTAATTAATTAATTTAAAATTTAATTTAAACAAATAAATACAGGAGCTATAGATTTCCTGAATTATTCAAATAATAAAATATTACACCAGCAACTTGGTAAAAGAAAACCTTCAAAATGACCTTTGTTTAAACGAAATGTTACTTTTTTAATGCTCAAAACTTCATCAGTTATTTAACGTAGATAATATAGAAACATTGAATACGCAAAAACTGAACCCAAAAAAAAAATCTGTGTTGAATCAGATTGAATTTATTTGAGCTCATAAACAAGCGAGTTTATTGCTTGTTTCTAAAATGAACCTTTGATTTAGTGACAAGATCAAATGACTTCAGACTTTAGCTCAAATACGGTCAACATTTAATTCAAATGTTAATATCCAGTTGTTATTTTATAATATTTCCCATCTTCACGTTGCACGTTTGGATATTCGACCAGCAGATGTCGCATTAGAAGCAGGAACGTCGTCCAGACAAAAGACTTCAGACTCACCTTGAGGATTTTCACCACCACCTTCTCATTGTTGGTCACGTTTATGGCCTCGAATACTTCGCTGTACTTCCCTCGACCCAACTTACGCACCAGCTGATAGTTGTCTTGATTGCTGAAACAGAGCGGGAACATTTTGCAGGATTTATAAGAATCCGGCTGAAACAATTAGCCAATGAATCAATTCGTCATTTAACACGCCTTGAAGTTTTAGCAACAAGGGTCTGGAGGACGACACCGTGAGCTCTTTATTATAGTCTACATTATGAATCATTTATTCATCAAATTAACCAAAAGATCAGTACAAAAAGAATGAATCTTACAGCCCCCAACAAATGACCTTTGGCCAACTTTAGTCTCTACACAAAATAAGTACTCATAACAACGATTTCCTTATTGAAGGCGTTTAAAAAGTTGACCTTTTCTGTAGCTTTCGGTGTTTAGCTGGTCACACTTTTACTGCATTTTAAAATATGATGCTTGATGTTCTCAGTAAAAAAAACAACAACTATAAAAGCAAAATCCTGATTTAGTCAACTTTAGTTAAAGTCTAGATTTAAATCATATATTATACATATGTCACTATTCCATTAACAGATTTGAGGGGCATTGATGTTTGGACACACGGAGGTGATGGAGGTTGATGGAGGTTGAGGATCCCGGTGGTTCACGTTGAGGCAAATACAAAGAAACGCTCTACAGGAACATTTTGTTTAGTTTGCCATGCGTTTGTTGTGTGCGTCCCTTTTCATGCTCGATGACAACAAGTGACCCGACACACGTTCCCTGCAGAGGGGAAATTAGAACGAAACCAGCACATGCAGCTGTACCTCCAGTTTGGCACGTGTGCGTCGTAGTCCCAGTACTCTCTGTTCTTCTGTGTGTTGACATCGGTGTACACCCGAGCCTTGCTGCTGGCCGGCGTGGATCCGGGCATCGCTAGCTCTGCGGCTCCGCGTCGGGGACAGTCGCCTCCCTCTGACGGCTTCTGGGCTCGATACTGGAAGGCGGCGCAGCTGCTCTCCAGGACGCGCGGCTCTAAGGAGATCCCCGCGCGGTGCTTCGCATCGGCTTCGGCTGCTCGCGCCCTCTGGTGAAAGGCGTCAGGCCGGTCCGACGCCGCGGTGGTGCAGACTGACAGAGCTACGAGGACCGAGTGCGTGAAGCCCCTGAGCAGGATGTTGGGCAGGATGGGATGAAGAGGCGCCAGCTGGGGGAGAGAGGAAGAGGAGGCTGAGGAACAACGTGCAGGTAAACCACGAGTCTGAGGAGGTCTGATGTTTGAGCCAAAGCAAAAACTTATATTATTATTTATCTTCCGCAGGTCTGCAACTAATCACCACCTCCATGATTATTTTCTACATTAATCTCTTAGCTTAAAGAATGTTAAAAAAAAGACAATCAGTCCAAAACCCTAAAATATTCAATTTGAAAACCCTCAAACCATCTGGTATACGAAGCCGGAATTTATCACTGTATTCTGACTTGTTAACACTGGACTAAATACAGAAATAAATCATACACAGGTCCATTAGTGAAAGGAGACCAGAGTACAACGTGGACACGTTTAAAGCTCTTTTCACTGCATCTGGACCAGATGTAGAAGGCATTCGCTGTAAGGTCACCAGGACCAGACGGTTACAAACAGCTCGTTTGTCGGTTTGTCAACTTGATCCTCGGTGAAACACATGAACTGGGGATTAAACCAGAGATGCTTTAGTGTTCTTCTAACCAGATCACAGTTAACCAGGCAACATGTAAATAAATACAAATTAACCCTGGAATAGATCAACATGGAGACAGTTTGAAACAGAGTTACAGGTTTGTTATATTTTAAATATCTGTGAAAATAGAAAATAAATTATTTTACAGCAATTTTTCTAAAATGCACCACATTAGACAAAGCCTAGTTTTAAAGACACTGTATTACGACTGCTGCAAATTCACTGGATTACCGTGTATTATTTTATTTTAAATCAAGTCACAGGTTATGCATACTTTGAATATCTTAAAATGCAGAAATATGAGATCTCACTGCCCTTTTCTCTACAGCGAGCAGGCCTCGTTAACCCGTCAGACTAACACACCGACGCTCGTGTGATATTTTAAAACATTTACCCAAAGCTGGTTATCACAAACCACGAATATCTGGTTACCCGCGGAGCCCGTCACGACGCGGGCCCACCCGGGGGCCTCCCCTCTGCGCCCGGCCACACAGCTACGAGCTGCACGGAGGATGAGCTACTGGTTAGCATTAGACGAGCCGGTTACCACCAAGTCACCTTAACGTGAGAACCGATCTGCGAGGACGGCAGCTAACGCTAACTAGCTTAGCGGTGACCTAGCTAACCTAGCAAAACAGAAAATCGCAAATATGCTAATCTCCATTGTGGCAACGCAGACTAACACGAATCACGCGCAGGTGCATTTCTTAAACGTGTAACATTCAGACACGACAAGTTGTGTGCTGGCGTCGCGGTTTGTGAAGGTGTGAAATTAATAAAACGGCTAAAGTTAGCCGGCTAACCTCGTCGTAGAAATATCCGAGCTCGGAGGAAGTCCGCCCGACATGAACGTTAGCTCGTTAGCAGCTCGTTAGCAACGCGTCGCTCCCCGCGAATCTGACGTAGCACCTCCAGATTTCAAGTGATCGATAACGGGCGGATATATGAGCAGGATCGGCGATGTATTGGTTCGGTCGGATGGGTGGTGGAGGTACATCTAGCGGCGGTTCGTTAGCAGGACCGGGATGCTCTTCCCTTTTGCGGTAAACATCACCCGGATGTGAACCAACGGGCTCGGTGACCCGAAAAATATATATATATATAACGTTAGGCACAACCTATTGTTATTAAATAAGGTGGCTTCAGGCAAATTAATTTATATATTCGATTACATGTAGACGTAAGAAAGTAGGACAGTTATCGTAAATATAGATATAAATATAATTATACAATATATGTCGTTTTTTCATCGTAACTCACCCGTTTTTAAAATGTTGATTAAATTTGCCAAAAAATCTGCTACGAGGTGTACGTCTATACAAATAAATAATTACAATGTGCTATCCTTGTCATGACCTTTTTTAAGGCCATTTATTTTTAATAATTTATCATTAATGCACTTGTGTTTATTCATGTTTTAATATATATATATATATATATATATTTTTTTTTTTATTTATTTCTCAGACAGAAGGATTTATTTATACTTGTGTTCAACCTGCCTCGTTTTTGGTAAGTTTGTAAGTTTGAAATTGAGTCGGTGTCAAAAGTAGGAATATCTATTAGGCAGAATGGCAATTTTCAAAAAACAAACAGTATTATAATAATATCACTTGTGTCTCGATCACGGTTTATAAATTAAAAAGAAGAATTTTAGAGGTCACATACAGACACAAAATTGGACTCTGGTAAACTACAGCATGTATTTTTTACAGTTGTCATTTAAAAGATAAAACGATCAATCAATAAAATAATGTTGCACGTTACTTGAAAATGATTAATTTTTAATAATGAAAATAATCCTTGGAGGCATTGGTTTGGAATCAACAGACGTACATGTGGTCGATCTCGCTGGGATGAAAACATGAGCACCTTTATTTCCATAAGGGTGGTTTATTTTATGGTCTGTATACAGTATGAACAGGAGTCTATATTGATACCCACGCGTGTAAATCCAACGCTTCATAACACTCGTTCGCCTCCAACAGAAGCTTCCTGAAGCGGACTCACTGGGACTTGAACCATAGCACAACCCCCCCCACGTTGTTAAAAAAACCTTCTTTTAAATATACTGCAAATATTGTGAATGTAGAAATCCACTCAGTAAACTAAAGTACACACGTGTTTTACTTTACGCCCCGACGTGGAACCGGAGGCTCCTCGGATGAATCTGCTGAACGTCTCGTCTGGGCCGGAACCAGAACCAGAAGGATCCTTGTGTGGAAGCGACGAAGCCAATATTTTAAAAATACATTAAAAAAAAGAATATTACTTTTGTTAGATCTCTAGTGCGAGGTAACTACTGCAGCTAGTTTGTGGCAGGTGAGTGTGGTGAGGGTTAAACCGTGTAATAATCCTTCTGGTATTGAAACTGAAAGTACTTGCAAAATACTGCAAGCTCATTCATAAGTGAATACAAAAGCAGGTAACATAAGCACTATACCGTCTTTCAATGTTTACATGAGCATATACACACAATCTATAATATAACAGAGTAGCCATGAATCAGTAGTTATAAATATTACATTGTGCATGTTCTATTGCACATGTCAAGTGTTCATATGACATGATAGGTTTGGTTAGTTACCTAGATGTCATTTGTTTTTAATACAAAGATGCAACAACACAGATTTCATAGGACACGGGCTATACATTTTCACAAATCCACTTTTTCTTCTTAGGATGTTTCTCCTAAATAAACCAAACCTATAATACAACAGTGATATTAAAGTGTGAAAAATATTCATGCACAAACAGATGATACTACCTAAGATCTAGAATGTGAAAAGATACTGCTGCACAAGTCAGCCACTGCATACGGAAGACACGGGGGGGGGGGGGGGCAGCTAAACTGGACACAAGTATTAACAAAAACACAAAATAACCACGTGATCGGTAAAAAAAAAAAAGAAAAAAAAAAAGGCACATGGATTTCAGAGGATTGAATGGACAGCTACAAAACACACGATGACCTGCAGCCACGGGAACGGATCCGCACTAAACTGATCAAGTGAAAGCTGTTTTTTATCCATGTGTTCCCAAGAAAGACGAGAGCTCTTATCGCCCTCTGTAGGGTTGTGGGGTTTTGGCGATTATTCCGACTAAAGGATGGACTTCAGTCTTGATACTAAAAAAAAGAAACAAATTAAAACATCTCTATGGGGCGCGTGTTATAAACTACAAATGGGGAGCGGAGGCTGGCACACGTTGCTTTTTACAAGGGGGGGGGGGGTGTTGTCATGTGTGCTGCCCAGGACTGAGCAGCAGTTCGGTTCATGGGATGCACTGAGCTTCGGGGAAACTCTCCCCCTCGGCGGTGTGCTGGACCGTGTGCTCCTGCAGAGCCGTGAGGTCCACAAAGCGCTCGCCGCACCACACGCACTTGAACTGCGTCTCCCGCGAGTGCACGCTCTGGTGCTTGGCGAGGTGCTCGCGCTGCTTGAAGCTCTTGTCGCAGTTGCCGCACTTGAACGGCTTCTCGCCGGTGTGAACGCGGCGGTGGCGCTGCAGCTCCGACGAGTACCTGAAGCGCTTCTCGCAGTCGGGGCACTTGAGCGGCTTCTCGCGCGTGGGGTCGCAGCGGTGCTGCACGAACTCGGAGGACGACACGAAGCGCTTGTCGCACAGGGAGCACTTGAGCGGCTTCTCCGTGCAGTGAGAGTTCTGGTGGCGCTGCAACGTCGAATTCTTTTTGTAACCTTTGCCGCACACGTCGCACTTGTAGGGCTTCTCCACCTCGCCGCCGCATTTGTGCCGGAGCAGTTCTCCCGATTGGCTGAAAGACTTCTGGCAGGACGCACACTTGAACAGGCTCTCCATGCCGTGGACCTGCTGGTGGTACAGCAGGTGGGACGGCTGCAGGAAGCCCTTGTCGCAGAGGTTGCACTTGAACGGGCGGTCGGCCGGATTCTTGTGGGTGCGGCGGTGGCGCACCAGCGCGTACTGCTGCTTGAAGCTCATCTGGCACTCCTCGCACTGGAAGGGTCGCTCCTCCGAGTGGGTGCGCTCGTGCTGCCGCAGGTCGGACGGCCGCTTGAAGCTCTTCCCGCAGGAGCCGCAGCGAAAAGGCCTTTCCCCCTCCGGCTGGCACTGATGGTGCAGGAGCTCGGACGACTCCTTAAAGTGCATTTCACACAAATTGCACTTGAAGAGGTGCTCGCCGGAATGCGCGTACATGTGGCGCACCAGGTGGGAGCGGTGCTTGAAGCTCTTCTCGCACACGGCGCACTTGTACGGCCGCTCTGAGCTGTGCGTGCGCTGGTGGTGCGCCAGGTGCGAAGACTGGCTGAAGCTTTTGTCGCAAGTGTCACATTTGTACGGCTTCTCGCCGGTGTGGACTCTCTCGTGGCGGGTCAGCTCTGACAAATGCCGGAAGGACTTGTGGCACACTGAGCACTTGTAGGGCCGGTCTGGCGCCGAGGCCTCGAACGATGGAGGAGACGAGGCACTGATGGCCGCGCCGTCACTGGACGTCTCCCCGGTGGAGGGCTGCTGGGGGTTGGCGGCCGACGAGGTGGGGGTGACGTTTCCGGAACCCGGCCGGTACGTTTTCTCGCAGATGGAGCACTTCATTGGGTTGTTTCCGTTGCCGTGCGAGTTGTGATGCTGGGCCAACGAGGTGAGCAGAGAGAAGCCCATCTTGCACACGCCGCACACAAAGGGCTTCTGCTCCACCTGCACGCACTGGTGCTCCAGCAGGTCCGTCGCCTGGCTGAAGATCTTCATACACTGGGTACACTGGAAGGACCGGTCTTGGTTCACCATGCACTGATGCTCGTGAGGGTTGGCCAGGTGAGATATGTCGTGGCCACAGGCTCCGCACTTGTGCCCTCTCTCGCCCCCTACCTGCAAGGAGGGCTGCTGGGCTTGAACGGCGTGCTGCTGGCCGAGCTGCGCCTGCTGCAGTGAAGCATCTGGCTGCAGGACCACTCCGTACACGGTGCAGCCCAGGGGGTTGTCGGCCCCCTGGGGGAGCGTGTGCACAACGGAAGGTGGAGCCACCGCATGCTGCTGTTGCCACGCCTCCGTCATCGTTCCACTTCGCATGTAGCGGTTCAGCTCTCAGCGGATTGGGGGGGTTTCAGCACTAAACGGAGAAGGGTGGATGTTGTGCAAAAAAAAAAAAATTAAAAAAAGAGGAATAGCTTAAAAAATGGTGACCGGCACTCTGAGTGTAGTTGTGTTATTTTGGTGTTCACACCAAATGGAGAAATGGAGAAAATCTAAAATGGGGAAAAACAAAAAGAACACCACAAATTAAGGTTAAATTCATTCACGCTATAATAAAACTGAGTATACAATGCTGGGTGTTAATGTGAAGGTGCAGTGCTAATGAGCGGCCGGTTTGCAACATGATGCACTATAAATAGAAACGTCAGAGACAGGAGCACTAACTTATGAGGCGCATGGTTACATTCCAGCAGGGGAAGGTGATCCAACCAGAATCAGAACACAGTGGAATCGGTGCAAGACAGTTCTGGCTTGTTGTGACAAATGGAACTAAAACAAAACCCTTGTGCTAGCCGGGGAGGCCTACAGCTCCGTCCCCGGTGATTCAGGAAACACGTCTCCAAGTACCGCACACATTTGTCTCCGTTGAAAAAAGATAAGAGGGTGACATGTGGAGACCCAACAGACTTTCATTAAGCGGAAACACGCAAAAAAAAATCTAAATATCAAGAGAATAAAGCTTTAGGGAATCGGGCTCTGTCTATATCCTGAAAAGAGAATAGGTCACGTAACGTTAATCCTAAAATATGTATTTAAAACGTTAGCTAAACGGGGGACGTGTTTTTATTGTAGCCCTCTTATTAAGCTAGATACGTGTTATATTTCAGACATGTGTATTTAATAGCACTGTTTCTGTTTTCAGGATGAAACTGCTCAGCTTCGGCATTTAAGCTAACAGCTAACCTTAGCTGCTAGCCGTTACCCGCTAGCTTCGGCTAATGCTACTAAACAACCGGACTTCTTCGAGATTATCCCACTATTTCTCCCTATAAAACATGTTACTACTTGGGGGGGTTTAGCCCTCTCTGCAGTATTAAAAAACACACTGCACGAAGGTAAAATCAGCCGAAGCCACAGACGCTCCACGGAGGACCACAGGAACTGGTTTCGCCGTTTGATACGAGCCGTCGCTGCAAACGGACCCCGAAAATCCGACTAGGCCTCCCCGGAGCGGCGGGGGGAAGAAACGCACCTCCCCCGGCGGAGCCGCGCACAACCGTAGAAAAGCGGCGTCTGCGATCACGAAACAAAAAGCGCGATCACCTACCGGGGCCCCTTAACGACGGTTTCCCCCGCCTTCCTTCGGCGTCGGGTCGTCAACCTTCGGCGTATTTAGGGCTCGGAGGACCGGCAGTGGAAGGGATGCGGTTGAAGCCGGACGCCATCCTCCAGCAGACGGACGGACACCGGAAGCCGCCACGCAGTGAGCTGTCGCCGCGGAGCTCGCTGCCGCTACGGCCGCTCCATGCCGGAGGTCCGCCCGGGAGCCCCGCCGGAGAGAAGAAAAAAAAGCGCCCGAGGTGGAGGTGGACGGCTCTCCGGGTCAGTTTGAAGAATCATTCCACGCAAAACACCCAACGAGCCGGGCAGAGGTTACGGGATGGTTTTTCTTGGGTCTGACACCAGGGGGTGAGTGTTTTTCACTCTCTCCCCCCCCCGCGCGAGTCCCACCTGCTACTGAACGTTAAATCATCACAACACGAAGAACAAACATAATGAAATCATTTAGAAAATGAGTTTAATAAACTATTATTACATCGTCGGTTCTAGGATACATTGGCTCGTGATCATAATGTAATACGTGCAATGCAGTATTTTGAATATTTAGTGTACTTTTACTTTAGTTAAGGATCTGAATACCTTTTCCACCACCGCATTATTACTTTTGAGTTTGTTGTTTACATTTTCCCGCACTTTGCACTTTTTTTTATTGCAAATCACATGAGTCTGAACTGAAGACCTGTGAGTTTCTCATTATATAACATCACATAACATGTCATTTAGCCGACTTCAATAAGTGCATTTCAACCATAAGGATACAAACTCAAAAGAACAAGAAAGTGCACTTTCGTGGCACTGTGATATACATCGGTATTTAATATTTCAAATTCTCTCTCTCCGTGTGTCTGTCTCTGTTTCTTTCTCTCTCTGTTGTCATCAGAGCTTACCTGTTACAGCAGGTGACCCCCCCCCCCCCCCCTCCAGGTAAACACTGTTAGCACAGTTCACTGAGAGGCAAATCTGGTCTTTAGCTGAGTGAAAATGAAATGATTAATTAGGTTACGGTCAGTTTCTTTTAGATCAGATAGTTATTTTCTCAGCTGCAGTGACCATGAGGAATTGTGATATTCATAACTGAAGCTTGTGGATATTTCTAGAAATGTACGTTGTTGTTTTATGGATAAAAGATGGTGACTATAGCGAGTACATACTGAGATAAACATATCGTGATATAGTATATTTTCTGTCAAATCTAGATTCATAGATTTATTAGATTTATTGTTTATAGATTTTAAGTTTATCCAGAAAATCACGCACAGTTAAACATGCTCACCGGTCCTTCCTGGTTATTCACATGTTCATCCGTCATGTTTGTTGTTATTTTTTAGTCACCTTCATGATTGAGGCAACGAGGCCGCAGCAATAAACCACACCAAACGCATTCATTTCAAACATTTCATTATTTTCTCCACATTAACTTGGAAACAACCTCATAAACCAAAGAGTAAGAAAGAGCATGCTCAGGCATGCAATGATGTCACAACATGATGATGCCACTGGGTGCGAAGTATAAAACATACAGTAGCAGAGAGTTTCTTTTTATATCATTCATGGACTCGGGGATGTTTCGGTAATCCACTGAGAGTTTTTAAAAGCTAGCGTTTATTTTACACCGCGCTCTCCACGTCTCACGTAGCCCGTATGCTGCTGGATTCAAACGAGGCGGGGAGGGAGAGGAGACTCACAGACCGACACCAGGCTGAGCAGGTTGAGCAGGTTGAGCAGGTTGAGCAGGCTGAAGAAACATGCTGAAAAAAATCTCATCCGGCCCAAAAAAACGTGTCTGGAAATGACACCGTAGAAACCCAATTTCTCCTTTC